TAAAAATTAAAATTGGAAAAAGTGTTGAACATGGACGAAAAGGTGATAGTGGCATTTGTGGAGAGACATATGAGCAGACCTAAAAAATGTAAAGTGCTTTAGAGGGACAAAGTGCTATGGGATCGTTAATCCGGGAAGGCACACTGGAACAACCACGTCTTCAAGCTCCTCCTGAAAACTGCCAGGGTTGGGGCCTGCCTGATGTCCTTAGGGAGTGAGTTCCAGAGTCGAGGGGCCACCACTGAAAAGGCCCTCTCTCTCGTCCCCACCAATCGCGCCTGCCATGCTGGCGGGATCGAGAAGAGGGCCTCTCCAGATGAACAAAGAGATAGTATGGGTTCGTATACGGAGATGCGGTTACGCAGTTAGGCGGGTCCCAAACCCTTCAAGGCTTTGTAGGTAAGAACCTGCACCTTGAATTGGGTCCGGTAAATGAATGGCAGCCAGTGGAGCTCCTTGAACAGGAAGGATGACCGCTCTCTGTAAGGAGCCCCGGTTAACAACCTGGCTGCCACCCGTTGGATCATCTGAAATTTCCTTTCCAACACACATCACAGCAGTTTGCATTCTGAGTTCATTAAGCATGTTTCAGATTTTCTCTCCCTCCTCCCCTTACTTTTCTTTTTCTAAAAAAATTCCTTAAAAATTATTGCATAAAAGATATAGCTTGGTTATCTGACTCCACCAGTTCAGACATCTATCTTGAGCCTGGATGGTGCCATTTTGGCTTCATAAGGTTATGAATATAGGAAAATATGCTTTTCTTTCTTCCATCCTTTCTTCCAGTCAAGAACTCATCTGCATGGTTGTTGCACTCACTCAACATGTGGTGTTAAAACACACCACACGTTGAGTGAAAACCAATCCTTTTTTGAAAAACCAATCCTTTTTATTGAAGCTGAGTAAAATAGCCAGTAGAAAGAAATGCTTGTGAAAATAGGAACATTTCAAAATGTAAAAGATCAGTAAAATGCAGTAATTCAAAGCAATGTCCAGAAAAGATATAAAAACAATCCAAGGCAGTATTTATCCAAACAGGAATCAACAGGTTGCAAAGATAATCCAGAAGGTGCTAGACCACAGCAAAATGCTAAAAAATCTCTATAAGAACAAGACTCCATGAACAGGATGTCCAAGGCACATGACCTTGATTTCAAAATGATGCCTGATCTAACAGGCTTTCCCTTGAAGCAAACTTTATATCCCAAAGCCCAAAAATTGGTTTTGTTTTCCCTCACTCTTGCCTCTTATCTGATGAAGCCTTTCAGAGCAACGTAAACATTGAGTTTGTTGTCAATCCTGGCTGAACTCTAGCTGCCTATTTTTCAACTCCCTTTCTGACTGCTCATTAAAATTTCCAGGTGTCAGATTGTTTTCCAAACTCAAATCTTGAGAAAGAGGGAGTAAACCATCATCCTTAAGCCCAGCTGGAATAATCTCATGAGAAACTGCCCTTTGCACTGGGGCCTCTCTGTCATTGTCTGCATGAAAATCATTGACCAAACCATCTCCATCTTGCACCTCAGCCTCAGCACCGCCATTTCCCTCATCATGTCCCACATCAAGAGCATCATGATTCTGAGCATAATGAAACACAAACATAGGCTGATTCCCAACACTGGTCATACTCCATGCAGATAATACTCCAGGAAGCCTCCCCAAAGCAACTAAAAGCATTGTTAACAGGTTATCTATGTGCTTTTTGTTTAGTGTCCTCTGTGTATTTTCTGGAATGTTAATATTAATGCTTTTGCTAGACTTCATGTAGCATTATATTTATTATTATTATTATTATTATTATTATTATTATTATTATTATTATTATTATTTCATATACTTGTACCCTGCCCTTCTCACCCCCAAAGGGGGACTCAGAGTGACTTCACAGCCCTGAGTCATTGTGGTGCCATCACAATGATAAAAACAATCAACAAATTCATTAAAACAGAACATTAAAACATGCCAGTTAAAATCAGAGTCCGGGTCAATTCATTGTCAATTCGAATTTCTTATGTCTTCTTTTCACTAGCCGCTATTCAGTGGTCAAACACAAGGTCCCACAACCAAGTCTTGAGTTTCCTTCTGAAGGACAGAAGAGAGGTGCCAAGTCTGGTGTCTTGGGGGAGGGAATTCCACAGACGGGGGGCCACTGCTGAGAAGGCCTTCTTTCTCATCCCCACCAATCGCATTATATGATTTTACAGAACCTATCCATGCTGGCTGTGTTTTAGCCTTTTCAAAAAGCGAATGCTCTCTGTTGGCTGGCATGTGATAGAATAGAAATTACAGAAACAGGGACCTTTTGAAGGTCTCTGCAAATACTTTAAATCAAAATTTTAAAAGTTTAAATTAATTGCATACATTTTAATAATGTATTCAATTGATTGTAGCAATGGATTGTGAATAACATATCCAAACTATAAATTTATGCAAACACCAAAAGTATAAATAAAATAAGTCTTCCTCCACCCCATTTCTTGTGCATGGTATATGTTCGTTTTTATCTCTGTTGCATCTTTGTACCTAGCAAACCAATTTTCCTCATGTCCCCAGGTAGAGATATCTATGTTTTTGTGTGACCTCCACACTGCCTTGTTGGATTTTCCATGAGCTTTTCTTCCCCAGTTCTCATTCATATTGGGAACAATATGATACAGGGCTATCCTTTTTGTTTCTGCCATATCCTCCTATGACATTCATATTATTGAGAGATATGTGTTCTCCCACTCAGTTCTAGAGCACAAGTCTGCCTGCATTTCCTTTAGAGTCACCCAGGATTGCCTGCCCATAGCAAAACTGCCTTCATTGTACCAATTGCTCTCTTCACAATAACTTTTCTAGAAATTGAAACGCACTTCCATTATGTTAAAAATAATGATTTTTCTAACATATTTTAATCATGGGCAACAGAACCTCAGTTCTAACAGTAGACATGGGAGTAAATGTTTAACCCTTTTCTGATTAAAGTACAAGCACCCTTGGTGCTATTAATCTTGACAATATTTTTGCTGCACTACTAGTAATAATCTCAAGGATTTTTTTCATCTGGGGCAGGAATTAGAATAAAGGTTTGTCACTCCATCCATTCCTGAGTAAATCTGCAGCTTTAAGATGGGAAGTCTAGGATTGCAACACCCATATTTTATATCTTCTGATTTTTGTTTATAACAAGGCCTATGCTGTATACTCATTGAATAAAAACATTACAAATTACTGTGGATAATCTAGACCTAACTGAAGTCCATGGTTCTCCCGCTGTAGCCTATTACACATATGCCTTGATACTAGGAGACCTTGATGCTACAGGTATTATCATATATAATATCTTCTGCTTGTTTAGAATTGACAGCTACTTTAGTAGAGGTTGTCCATTTGTAATGTTGTGTCATATTTCTGTGATAAGAAGAGAAAACAGCTGCAAAATCACTGATTATGGAAAACAGACTATGGTTCCTTGCTGTTGTAATTTCCACCTCAAATGTCTTTCGAGTTTGGTATGTGGGGGCTTCTGTACTGTTTTTTGTTTTATTTCTTGGGGCTCAAAGAGCACCTCACACATAGCTTCTGAGGCAAATTTCCTCTGAGCCTTGGGGATGAGAATATAAAAGGTAGCATTGCTTAGGTTCCTGCCTCTATGGCACCAACCACCACTACGGAGAAGGCAGTGTGTGCCTGTATATCTCTTGAAAATTGATTTCAAATCTGTATATCAGTCACACTTCCTAGGTTTAAGCTGTTCATGGGGGTGGGGAGTTACAAATACACCAGGGTAAGATCCTAAGGAATGCAATTACAGCTGTTCTGGTTATTGAAATGCCAGGAGTAATTTCTGGAAGTCTTGGAAAAGGAAATGATAATCATAGTTAGTCTCTGTCCCTCAGCCCTTAACACCCTTCTGAAAATAAGTGTTACAGGCATTTTCTCAGTGTCCTCCCACTTAAGATCTTAGTCAAAGAAAGAGGCGGAAGGCCTATGGTGCTTTGTTAAACTGTGGTTTGAGCCAGTGAGGCTTAAATTGCCTTTGAGCAGGTTTATATCAATATTGCTTATTCTTAATTCAGAGGAGCAGAAGGAATTGTCATGCAGATAAACAACATAGTTCACCTACATTTTCCATTCTTTAAAGTGTACAGAGAGGCAACCCACAACCTTTTGGATTACTGTATTCCTTGTGCCAGCTTCCAAGGCTGAAGTAATTTGTTTTCTCTTATTTCCATTGACTTCACTTCTCCCTTCTCAGTTTTCTCTGTTCTGCCTTGACAGCTAGATAAACCTAACTAAAACAAGGCTGCTATGAATCTTATGCATACCATCACTTTCTGATGAGGGCTTTTAACACCCTAATAGATGCTCATCATAGATGAATTCATATCATTGTGCCAAATGTCACACATGAAAAAAGTACAATTTGAGAAACAATTGTGCAACGAGGGATTCTGACAGCCGCAGCCTAAAAAAATTAACCATTCCAAGTTCAAAATGTGCCACCATTTCTGATATTCTTGTAGGATAAGGAATATGCTTCACGAGGAATGCTGTACAAGAGATGACAATAAATGAATTCCTTTAAAGAAGAATTAAAGTGATCTAATAGGGTCAACAGGCTAGTTCTTTTCTCTCAAATTAGCATTTGTCGTGGTTAATTGCTGTAGCATTAAGAAGTGGTGGCAATGTATTTGCATCCACTGCTTCTTCTTCACATATTGGAACATGACTAATAGTTTCAGCTGAATTCTTGAACAGTAATCTGGCAGCCTTTGTGCAGGACAGGTACCTGTCAACTGCTTTTAAGACCTGACCAATGACAAGTAGAAACACAAGAAATTCAAAGCAGCCATTGCCACATGTTCTGCCACATAGACCTGTGTGAGCTGAATCCTGGCCACGGGGCCGTTTCAGATTGTGAGCTGGTCCACAAGAGTGAATAAAAAAGCACGGCTAAATACTAATCCATCTTTCCATCTGTTAAACCATGCACTTTCTCCCTGATTCCTTGCCAGGACCGGCTTCTTTAAAGAAGTCAGGGAAGCTGGATTTCTGCAGTGCCCTGTCCTCCCACACCACCTCCCCGAGAATGGCTTTCACCCACCACCCGCTGCCTGTCCTAGCAGGAGTCAGACCAGGTGAGAACAAAGCCATTTTCTTAGGGGGGAGAATGGGTGGATCGTGGGCCACGGTGGGGAAGTAAGGGACAGGGCTGTCTCCCCGAAGAGGCCTGTCAGAGCTCTCCGCCATGTTGGTTCTGGCAATGCACTCTTTGCTCTCTGTCTCTTTCCCTCTCTCTTCCTCTCTCTGTCTTGTCCTTGCTGTCCCTTTTCTTTGCCAAGGCAGCTTGGCGCAAGGATTGCAGAATGCATCCTGGAGAATTGTTAATTGTCATGGCACATAAAGGACAGGGCTCACAACAAGTTGTCCTGCTACATTAATCCAGGCCAACTTGGACATCTTCAGGTTAGAGATGACAATAGTAGGCTAAATGGACCAGTGACTGATTTGATTTTTTTAAGCATTATGTGCTCATACGCGATTCATATAGAAGGAAAGGATCCAGAATGAATGGGCTTTAGATTTCAATACTGTGCCTACTAACATACTTTTGGGAATATTAAATTTTAAGATAAGGAATATAAGTATTATAATAAATTGAGATATGACCATGTTTGTATGACTCATTTACATTAGCTTGCTCTTTTTTTTTTTTTTTTTTTTGTCGTGTCAGGAGCGACTTGAGAGACTGCAGGTTGCTTCTGGCATTAGAGAATTGGCCGTCGGCTAGGACGTTGCCCAGGGGACGCCCAGATGATTTGATGTTTTTATCATCCTTGTGGGAAGCTTCTCTCATGTCCCCGCATGAGGAGCTGGAGCTGATAGAGGGAGCTCATCCACCTCTCCCCGGATTTGAACCTGCGACCTGTCGGTCTTCAGTCCTGCCGGCACTGGGGTTTAACCCACTGCTCCACCGGGGGCTCCTGTTAGCTTGCTAATTCTGTAAAACATAAAATCCTGTGTAAATTTCTCTGGGATTTTCCACAGAAGTAGCATTTTGCTAGAGTTCTAAGTGAAATACTGGCAACTTAGGAAAATTTTCAATAACTGTGCTAGAAAATTGTCTTTTAAGAGCTAACATTATTTTCAACCTATTTTCAATGTTAGCCTTTATGTATATACAGCCTCAGCAGATACTTTATAAAGGTGGCTTCACAATAAAAAGAGAAACACCGCATTACAACTAAAATATTAAAGGTATATGAAGTGAAAAGTCCACATTGAAATACAAAATGGCAAAGGAAAAATCAGCATAAGCACTGCTTTTCTCGATAGAGAAAACACCCAGTTTAAAATGCTTAGAAGAATAAAAAATGAGACTGGAGTAGAAAAGAAACCAGAGGCGAGCATATTCACAAACAGATTGCCACCACTGAAAAGGCCCTTTTCCTATTTCACATCCGCCCTATCTGACACACTACTTGTGTTACGCAACTTTGATAATTTTTCAAGTTGTAGGTAGCATTCTGTAGAGACAACCAGTTCAAACAACAAATCCAGCCATTTCTAGAGCCGAGACTCTGTAATTTTTAGATATTTTAATGAACGTGTATGTATGTGTCCTTATGTATGTATGTATGTATGTGTGTGTGTGTGTGTGTGTGTGTGTCTTAAAGAGCATGAATGATAAATCTATTTTACTTTTATGTACAAACAAACACAACTAATATTTAGATTTAGATAGGTTAACATGTCTGCATAAGTGTATATTCGAAACATATCTGGTTGTGTTCATTGCAGGCATGTAGCTGGTTGTACTAATAGGAGGAAAATTATTGAAATGTAGGGATCTGGAAAGACATGCTGTGGCAGTTCTTCTGTGTTTGATTCATGTTAGGGCAGTGGTGTGGCTTGTGTTTAGGTGGTAGCCTTATATTATTTATGGGTACATTTTGTGGGTATATGTGTAAGTCCAGCATATTGCATAAAATGGCAGTATGTATGAACAGCAAGTCATTTCAGAACAAAATCTTATGGCAGCATCTTTGAGGGTCCAGTAAGGAACAAAGTAAAGTTGCTTAAGTGGACGATTCTGAAATTTCAAATCCAGTTCTAATTTAGGTCTTACCAAAGGGTGGCATTTCAAGCACAGAGAGATCCTTTCTGAGCTTTCTGCGTATTCAATCTTGCCTTTGGTGGAAAGCTCAGTTTTATGGCAAGCTTAAAATTTGACAAAGAACAAAAAATAATAGTTTCTAATGAAGATGAAAACTTTTTTTGATAACTTGATTTGTCATGCTTTGGTGGAGAAATATGGTAACCAGCCTTTGCTTGAGTGTCCCATTTCTATGAGTTTCTCTTAAGTATGAGTTTATGATACAATGCAGTGAAAGAAGGTTATTTTAATATAACCAGTCCAAGGTCTGCCAAAGTTCTTCCTCTTCTCTCAAATTCAGATTCTGGAGTCATATCTTAAATGGGTAGGAGTAGATCCAATCCCATTTTATATATATATAAATGATGGGAAACAGACCCAGCATGACATAGTAAGGCTCCTTTTACACTGCCATATAAAATTCATATTATATGCTTTGGACTGGATTATATGTAGACTCAGATAATCCTCTTCAAAGCAGTTTATGTGGATTATCTGGTTTGATCATCTGGATTATATGGCAGTGCAGAAGGGACCTAAGGGCACTTCCACACAGTACTTATAATTTAGGAGATAATTGATTCAAAAGGGGAATGGCAAGATGATGTTTGTGCTGAATATGTGCTCAATCACAGCAACGGAGGGAAAACCCAATTAAAAAAGGTCCTCCTTTATCCTGGTTCTGCATAAAAAGTGGATTTTCTCATGGCTGAGTGGCCCTGTACTCATGTAAAGTTTGGGATTGGGAAGGGGTGTGAGGATGGTGGAGGAAGAAAGCTCGGGACCGGCAGGTCTGTTTGGGGACCTGCTCTGAGGTCCCAGGTTTGTTTATCCCACATATTAATCCCACATTTTGGCACTGTCTGGAAGCGCCCTGAGACTCTGGGAGGCCAGTGTCTGAATCCCCACTCACCCATTAAAACCCACTGGGGAACCTTGGACAACACATACTCTTTTATCCTAAGAGGAAGGCAATGACAAACATCCTTTGAGTAAATCTGGCCAAGCTCCATGGTAGTTTTCATAAATTGGAGCTGGCTTGAATCCACATAATAAGAAATAAGAGAAAATTCACTTCAATGTACCACGTGAATAAATACCTGAGTCTGAAGAGGCCAAGGTCTGTCATTTAGCTCTGTAACCCTCAAAGGCTCTCCTGCTGTTCAGATTTCATACATCCCCTTTTGCCATATAACTAGCAGCATTTCAACGCATAGAATATACAGGGTAAGTGTGGAATGACCATCGAAAATGCTCATTTAAAATTTATTTACATTAAGTAATATAGTATAGTAAAAATATACAGTGTTAAAAGAAAGAAAATGAAAAACAGCACATATAAATAAACCACAACAACAAAACAGCAAAACTTCATTTATATACTGCTCTATCTCCCCAAGGGGACTCAGGGCGTTTTCCAAGTGACATAATCAATACATACAAAGAAAACAGCATAAACATAGAATTAACAAGACAATATGAGCATTTAAAACCACAATAGCACATATATTTAAAATAATCCTGCCTTTTAAAAGGCCTGGCCTTCTAAACTGAAATGAAGTTTGGCAAGAAGCAGCTTGCCTCTTATGTGAATTTTGAAGAACACATCATGGATGCAGTTGGACAAAAGACATAGAAACAAACCAACTTCTTGCGTTAAAAATATATATATATACCCAAAGCTGCGATGACAGACTGAGAGACATACATTTAACAAGTCCATTTGACAGTCATGATTTATGTATAAATCACATTTGAAAGGTTATGGGCCTGATAACATATGCTATCATTAAGACAACACATTTGCACCGTTTTCTAAAATTAGGAATTCAACAGGGCATGAAGTGATCTCTAAGTTGTCTGTGGAGTTTGTTAAAAATGAGGAGAGCGAAAAGAGCAACATTTTGTTTAATATTTTTTATTTTTCAGTGTGCTAGTTATTTTTTCCATTTCTAGAAATACTCCACATGACAGAGAGAGAGAATATATTAAAAATAATAACACTATTTTAAAACCATAAAAATACATTAGAAGCGGTTCAAAAAGCTATTAGAAACCACAGCATGAGCTAACGTTGCACTGTGTAATTTGAGGAAAGCCCTGTTTGTGGCGGGGTGGGGCAGAGGCAGGGGGCACTTATAAACAGAAACAAATGGCCCAACTACGTATACAACTGGCTGTCCCAATATTTTTGCTTTTAATAAAATGCATCTCCTGGAGTTAGTGATATAATTCAGCTTTTTTATTTTTTGTCTTGGGGTGGGGGTGTTTAGTCCTGCCCTCTAATCCATCATTTCAGATTGCCAATGAAAATGCTCCCCCATTCCGCTCCGAAGCCCCCCCCCCCTTCTTGTAGAGGAAATAACAGCCTGGGGGATGGATTTTTATAGGGAAATTAGACTCCGCTTCTGCATAATGTGTCATTTGGGTCCTAAGCACAGATGTAGTCTGGTGAATATCTGTGTGCAGAGAATTGCCAGCGAGCACACCCTTCCTTATGCCCCTTCAGTTACCACCTCTGAAAATGACAGAATATGGTGTTTGTTCCAAATCCCTGGTGCGGTCCCACCATTGTCTGCTCAACCACCTAGTCCAGAATGGCAAATTAGGAGTTGGCTTGCAGTTACAAAATCCTTTGTCGTTTAAAGAAATTCTTTTAAAATCTGGGCAGATGTGACTGTCATCATGCCATTAGCATTGTAAGAGAAGGCCACGTCTTTTCTGTAATCCTCTTTAGTCTACCCTTTTGAGACATTTTGTTATCGCATTTGATGGGAGCTCCTGGTTAGGAACTCCAGGAAACTCTTCCACATTCTCATCTAAACAAATGCCTTCTTCCTATTTAATCTTGAGCACCCCTGCTTCCTTTTAAATCTCACTTTCAAAGTTCATTTATAACACAGAGAACTGAGCTTGTTGACTGAAAGGTCGCAGGTTCGATTCTGGGGAGCGGCATGAGCTTCCGCTGTCAGCCTCAGCTTCTGCCAACCTAGCAGTTTGAAAACATGCAAATTAACACAGAGAACTACCTAGCAGTTTGAAAACATGCAAATTAACACAGAGAACTGAGCTTGTTGATTGAAAGGTCGCAGGTTCGATTCTGGGGAGCGGCATGAGCTTCCGCTGTCAGCACCAGTTTCTGCCAACCTAGCAGTTTGAAAACATGCAAATGTGAGTAGATCAATAGGTATCCCTCCGGTGAGAAGGTAATAGCGTTCCTTGCAGTCATGCCAGCCACATGACCTTGGAGATGTCTATGGACAATGCCGAATCTTTGGCTTAGAAATGGAGATGAGCACCACATCTTATTTATTTATTTATTTATTTATTTATTTACAGCTTTTATATTCCGCCCTTCTCACCCCACAGGGAACTCAGGGCAGATTACAGTGTACACATATATGGCAAACATTCAATGCCAATTTTGACATCCAACATTTACAGCCATAGACAGAGGCTATTTAATTTTTTCTGGCCGCCAGGGGAGCTGTCGCTTTCATCGTCCATCTGAGACACTGATGAAGTACTTCCGCATTCCCCGCATGCGTTTTGCTGGAGTGCTTGCTGGAGTCCTTTTTTAATGGCCTCATAAATTAGTTAATTTAGCCTCCCCACACTTTAAGGTGGTACCTAATTTTCCTACTTGACAGATGCAGCTGTCTTTCGGGTTGCAAAGGTCGACAACAGGCTACACACAATTGGTTGGAAACCCACTCCAACCCGGGCTGGCTTTGAACTCATGACCTTTTGATCAGAGTGATCTTAATGCAGCTGACACTCAGCCAGCTGCGCCACAATCCCAGAGTCGGACACGACTGGACAATGTCAGGGGAAAACCTTTACCTTTACTTTAACACAGAGAACAGCTTGCTGACATCTTTCTAGCTGGCCAGCTACATATTAGCCCGCCCGACTTGTCCTCTTCAAAATAAGGATGACAGCAAGTGGGGGAAGACTCACACTATGCTGGCCAGTTAGAAAGATCTTAAGAAACTCATCTCCAGAAGCTATCAATACAATTCATCTGGTTTGTACAATCCGCTGTCCATGTCAATATTTTAGAAGGAACTTCAGCCACACAGGAAAGATAATCTCTAACTCACAGCAGTTGATCATTGGCTGATTCATTTCCTGCTTCTCTTTATGAATTACTAATATGGTAATAATTGCCAAGCTGATTATTGACTTGCTACTTCTCCCTATGAATTACCAAGATGCCAATAATTACAAAGGAAAATAATATGCTGCACATCTTTGTCTTGGATGTTTGGGAAAGATGTATATGCAGTCTTCAAGTTACCAACAAGATAGGTTCTGTAGGTTTGTTCTTAAGTTGAATTTGTATGTAAGTTGGAGCAGGTACAGTTTAAAGTGTAAGTCCAACCAAATAATATATGTTTAGCTTTGGATAGCATAGGGAAGGGTTAACACCCCTGTGGTGTTTGCTTTGCTGTCTGTGCCCCTGTTCAGAAGGTTTTAACTCACTTTCTGTCTCTGTGATCATAAGATTTTGAAGAAAAAATGACTTGTTTTGGAAACAAGGATTGGTGACGAAGTTTCAGTGGAGACACTTTTCCCCTGATAACTCTTTCATGAGTGAATTTTCCTTCCAAGGGGTAGATTTCCCTCACTTCCTATTGTCTCATTCCCCCCCCCCCCCCCCACCACCACCACCTATCCTTAACTATGATTCGTTTAGAAGCTGGATGCTTATAACTCGGGGACTGCCTGTATTGCTTCTTATTTATATAATGCCATTTATGTATGTGGCATTATATTTCTATATGTAGAAATGGCATATTTCTATATATAGAAATAATTTTAAAATAAATATTGAGATGGAATAAAAAGAGGAGAGAGATCACAGGTAGTAATGGATAAATATAAACAAAATGTAGTCACATATATTTGTATTTTGCTTTGATGATAGTATGGGGATTGGCATTGGTAGAAAGCAGGGTATGAGAAGTATGCCTATAATGTGTAGTAAAAATTGATAGGGAGATAACTATGTGCAGAATATAAAGTCTCTTAAAATCACATAATGTTTGTATGTGTGTGTGTATATAGCATGCACATACACACACAGAAGCATGTACGTTTTGCACTCCTGTAGACTGTAGAGGTGTAACACACACAGGTCAAATTACTCTGCATCTGCTTGCACATCTTCGCAAATGCTTATCCATCTATTCCCTTATGAACTAGAGCCATTTCTGCACCCTGCCAGGGTCAGGAGAGTCATTGTGTCCAGAGAGACCCTTTGACCACAAGGATGTGGGGCTGGCTAGCCATCTAAGGCCACAGTAAATATGATTGTTGCAGGTGGCTATTGGGCTGTGTGGAATGAAAGCAGCATGGCATGGGGGTTGTTACTGATATTTCTCTGTCCCTCTTTCTCTCTCTCTCCCCATCTCTCTCTTTCTCTCTCCCCTCCCTCTCTTTCTGCTTCTCTCTGTTTCTGTCCATCTGTCCTTTACACTCTCCAGGAAGCCCCCGTGCCACAGCGTCGGCCCTGCACTTCCCGTCAACCTCCATCATCCAACAGTCCAGCCCCTACTTCACACACCCGACCATCCGCTACCACCACCACCACGGCCAGGACTCGCTGAAGGAATTTGTGCAGTTTGTATGCTCGGATGGCTCAGGCCAGGGCTCCGGGCAGGTAAGAGCCTCGCACCTCAGCCCAGGGATGCCGGCCAGTCCTACCAAAACCCTGCCCTACAGCCTTTCTCTGCCTCTGTCTCCCTCCCTCCCTCTGTCTGCCTTGCCTGCCTGTCTGCCTGCCTGCCTGCCTACCTTCCTAGGGAGTCAGTAACACTATAAGCACTATTATATAGTCCTGTGGGTCTGGCAGAATGGGCTGTTTACAGTAAAGAAGCAGTCACCAGCTTGTCTTAGCAACTTACCTTGGGTGTGAAATATAGAGAGGGACACATGTAAGGGAGAGCAATCTCAGGACAGCCAGGATATTATAATATATTTGGGTTTTTTTTTTTAGCATGGGTGAGGGGAATGCCATTTATTCAAAAGATGGGCTTCTCTTCGGCCTATCAATAGGACATGGCCTCCAAAGGAGGACAGGGGTCTTTGTGGTGACCCAGGCAGGTTTTTTATCCTGTCATTCAACTCTTCTGACCCTTTCATTTCTGCCACCCTTTTCATCAAAGGAGATGTTTTGGAAGGGCTTTTTGAGTCTTCTGGAACATGACGTATTTGGGGTTCCTGGGTATGAGAAGATCCCAGAAGTCTGTTAAGGAGATTCTAAAATTGTGTCAATTTTGAGGTGGCAAGATCGAGTAACATGAAGTTTTGCAACTTTGTTAGGTGGCAGAAGAATCAACAGACCTGCAAACTGGAGCTTGTCAGGGACCTGTGGGATTTTAAACATGTATTCTTCTAAGACATGGGCTCTGGCACGGATGAGTTTTAATTTATTTTTGAGTCAAAATGCCCAAAATGACTTGATATTTCATAGAAATGCTACACATACGGTTTGGCCTAATCTGAGCACCACCATTAGTGGAAACTCTAGTATCCTAGAATGTGGGGAATGAAATTTGGGGATAAAGGTATTGGCAGTATGTAAATTCAATAAATAAATTAAAATTAAATAAGTCTCACTTTGCAAGGCTTGTCAGCCCAATCCAATTTCTGTGCACTAAATATATTAGAATAGAAACATTTTTTTGACTTAGAAAAAGTCTATTAGATAATATTTTCTTCCAAACTAGAGTCCTTCAGTAGAATTAAGGCATGGCTGAAAACATTTGCAAAATGAAAGTTACGCATAGCATTTATTTTTATATAGTATTAACCAGCAATGCTTTACCCACATAGTCTATATTCTTCCATAATATTTGCACACAAATTACTCATATTCAACAGAGATACACTATCATGCTATTGAAATGTATACTTTTAAAAGATACTACCCATTGTACTACATCATGTTCAAGTGTACGTGGAAATTAATGATGAATCACTCCTTCGTTGCTTTTTAATTAGTTAAATTATGTTCCCAACCAAGATATGCATATATTATTTGCTCTGTAGTATTTTTTTCTTTGTTTTGTAGCAAAAAAAGCTATATAATTTTGTAAAACGTGCAAGATAACAAAACTGCACTGCAGTATATAATATAACAAATCAGTATGGAGTTTTCCTACAACAAAAGGAATCAGGAGTTGACTGATAGGACATTTTACTACTCCTGCAACTACAGTGAATTTCAAGCAGCAGTCTGAAGCTTTTGATTAAAGACACTATTGCCCTTAGGAGCTTCCATAGTGCATTGCCTAACAGCACTAGGCTGACTCCTTTTGGCATTAATACAGGTCAATTCTGATAAAGCTAGGAGAACAAGACAACATGTGCAATGAGTAGAACTTAATGTTGTGAGGATTCCTCATTTAAAAATATGTAGCAATTTGAGAGAAAGTAGCTCGTATTGAAGTCACTCAATTGAGTAAAGAGCCACAAAGAGGCTTCAGTCGTACTAGGACATATTCCAGAAAAGTAGCCATTTCAGTCTTTGGCATCAAATAAGTGAAGAAGTTTCCACAACTTTCTCTGCCTTTTGCCAACAATTGACATAGCTCTCACTTCAGGATTAGCTATCTTGATTATTCAGAAAACGCAAGAGTTTCCACAACTGAAAGTCTAGATATCGCCATGATCAGGCTTGTGATGACTTCCTAGCATTGGTATTCCAGGTATTTTTTGGGTTGCAAATTGTCTTCTGATGTATTGAGACCAGATAGCATTGGATAGCTATACAAAATGAAGATTTGTGTGCCTCAGAAACCTTCCAAGAGCTAATCAGGAGAGAGAGAGAGCTATAGAAAAAGCCAGTTGGAGAACTACAAAAAAAAAAAAAAATCCAGAAAGGTCCATTTATTGTGATTTTTTTCCTGAAAGGAATCTGTAATTATTTTTTACGCAGGGCTAATGAAATCAAGAACCAATAAATGCACTTCTCTCTGTGTTTCACTTTATTGAAAAACAAATGAATGCTACCAATCTGTTCTGAAAAAAATCTGGGAGAACAACACAGTTCTTCAGAAATGAATTGTTTTTCAGAACAAAATGTCTATTTTCCCAACTCTGGTTTATTTTTTACTCATGAATTGAACACTTTCTATGACATTGATTGCCATAGCCTATGGTTCCAAATATGGAATCCTATAGTCACACTTCCTTTGCTTTTTCTTAACTGCATGTGATGGGAAAGACTGAGCTGAGGAAAAGCAGTTTCCCAGAACTGCTAACGTTGATAATTTAGTTGTTTCCTTGTAGCCACAGCTTGCAGCTGTGTGTGGTAACACATTCAGCTTTCTATTTAAAGACTTTTAAAAAGAAATTTCATTGAATTGGTGGAATACTGAGATCCTAGAGCTTCTGAGTTGACCTGCAGGATTGCTACAAATCCCATGCCTTCTTTTATGATCCAGATTCATGCTGTCAGATCCTCTGCAATGAGCATTTGCTGAGATAGTGTACATGGAAGCACCTTTTCTTCTATATTTAGAATTATTTGTGAGCAAAACATATGCGTGGCCCCAAAGGCAGGGCCACTTAGGGACCACAATCTCCAGATTCAAAAAGATCAGGGGAGGTAGTGCATTCTCTCACTCCTGAGACATCTGTTGCATCAGTTTTTTCTCTCTGGTTAGCCATATGGATCTGGTTGCACTGCTGTTTCAGGGATACTCATCCATTCCCGTCAGGGTGCCCAGTGAAGAGCATTGGCAATAGAGTTATCGTCTATGGTGTTGACAACATGTTTTGCAGTGATGTGTGGTAAGGAGTAATTCCTCTCTGGTTTTCACGTCTTGTCATTGGAATGGAGGAGTCATCATTCATACCTGCCAATCATGCTGGGACACTGGCAACGACTGGATCCCGACTCAGGCCTGGATTGCTTGTCACAAGAAAGAAGAGTGTACGCGTTTGAGAGGGAAGGATAGCAAAGCCATATGAGTTTGAGGGAGGCATGAGAATGATTTCAAACCAAAACATGATTTAAAGGACAAAGAAGGGGGAGGGGAAAAAGATCCCTCCTCAAACTTTCATTGAAATCCCTTCCCTTGCTCTCCGCCCAGAGAGCTGCCAGCAGATACTGCATCTTTAACGTTGCCTTGTCTCGTTCATGCATCACTGTATTTATGTTGTTCGCAGCCTAACGGTAGCGGCCAGGGCAAAGTCACGGGGTCATTTTTGCTGCCGCCGCCACCACCTGTGGCCAGACCAGTGCCCCTTCCAATGCCTGATACAAAATCCACCAGCACTAACCCAGAGGGCGGAGCACCGACACCAACGTCACCCTGTAAGTGGACCCCAGTGTAATCCGAACCACCAAGCAAAACAAAACAGAGTCATTCTCCCACCCACCATCCGCCCCAAAGTCCTTCAGTAGGGGTTGAGCAAGACAGATGTAAGGGGCAGAGAGGAAGAAAGAGGATCAAAGGAAGGGCACGGCAAAGTGGATCAGAGAAGAATGCGTGCAGTGACAGATGCAGAAGGAAGAGCTGCATAAGAGGAACTACTGGAGAGATAAATAGGAAGGAAGGGAAACTATACAAAGAGGAACTGAGGGATAGGAGGGAGAAAAATAGGTAAAAAGTAGCTAGCAGGTCAAAATGAGAGTCTTGGGCATCATGTTGTCATCATCAAGTCTTGTGCTTTATGCTTGTTTTCAAGGTTGATACACCCCATTTGATACCTTCCTCCAAGCTGCCATCACCCCCTCACACTTTCCATCCCATACCCCAGCGTTTAAAGATGCAGTAGCTGCCCAGCTCCGACACCTTTTATTTATTTTATTTGTTTCATTCATTATGTTGTTGGTTACCATAGTGGCTCCTCGGTAAGAACTGGGTCTTTTTTCTGTAAGGGACAAAAAATAAACCATACATAATACAGTTCCATGAATAAGAACTACTATTAGATTTGTTTTGTTTTTTGTTTTTTAATAATACGAGCAAGGGTTGTGTTTATGGGTGTTCAACTTGTGCTTCAGAAATAAAAAAAGCAACTTCCACTGAGATCCGTAGCAAGCTTCCTGTCACCCCTCTGAATTGAGGTTTGTGCATTTTTCTGTAAAAGGTATGCCTGTGGGAGTAGGGAGGAGGGGAGACTGGGAATCAACACTATCAGAGAATGTTCCCACTGTTTGGTGGGAAGTAGAACCCAAACATGAGATGCTTGAACCACAAATCCAGGACTTCTGTACCCTCCTCAAGGAGGCCAGATATATCTTCTGGTGGGATAGAGGTCAATATAAGATAGGATTCCTGGATCTGTTCCTATCTTGGGGTGGGGGGTGAAAGAAAATCTACCCGCCCTTCTGAATAAGGTATGGGAAACAAAAACCCTGGGTTCTCCAGTGATTAAGAAGTTTTCACCATCTTTCTTGCCTTAGGGAAAGCCCCTTTGGGGAACAAGTTTGGCTACCACTTCCATTTTCCTTTTGCTTTATCTTCTTCCCTCCTTTCCTTTCCGTATTAATTTTTTTTCTACATCTGTGCTCATGGCATTGCTCACTCTCACACTGTTCATCCTCTCCATGATATGGGTGAAGTGCAGTGGGGGGAGAGAGAGGAACAAAGGGCTGGAGATAGGCTGTAGGCATGAAAGGTAGTAGTGGTTGCTGTCTTTCCCACTGTCACAATAACTAACAAATATTCAGGAGGAGTATGGGGCAGTGCAATTGTTTGTAAGTTGACACCAGATACCAAGAGCAGGCCTACATGATCAGTATAAAAACTGGTGCTGGCACAAGCCATTATTAGGTAGTGAAAGGCAGGAGATTAGGAGTATGATTATTGTTTTGCTTAGCCTCTATATGACTAGATGTCTGAATGGTCTCTCATATATATATTTAAAGCCTTCCATCTTGTTCAGAAGGCACCATTCTCTTTTGTATTCTCATTTTGGATCTATGATTATTTTTTTTACAATGAGAGAACATTCAGCACCCCTGACCAGCATCTTCAGTGACCGAGACCAGCTACAGATCATCTGAAATGCATCTGCTGGTTGTATAGCTCAGGTCTTCACCCCATTTAGTCGATAGTGGTCATCAAGGAGACACAGAGCCCATGAGGCCTCTAATGTTACATTAAGAGCAAAGGCGGACATGGAGCAACTTGCCTCAAGGAGCTGGCAGCAAAAGGAGACCTTCTCTCCTTGCTACCACTCCTTTGGTAACCAGGGGTTGAACTCTGAGTAAGAGCAGTTGCCCTCAAATCAAATTCATTCAGGCATAGGTAGCAGAGAAAACCGTTTCAGGTAACTTGGGATGTTTGTGGTTAGGGCTGAGCGTGAAGGTGAAATGTTGTGTTTGACTGATATTTATGCATGCTTGTGTGTTTGTGTGTGTGCATGTGTGTTAGCATGTGATTGCAGAACTCCTATGGAGCTTTTAGAGTCTCTTCACTGTATATCAGCCCAAACGGGTTTCCACCTTGGAGATTGGCTTTCAGTGGGGGAATCTCTCATGCCTGCTCTCTGCCCCTCGCTCAGCCTCTCTGAGAGCCATTCCCGCCTCTGCCACCATACTAAATACCAAAGAACTGAGCTCAGTTATTTCTGGCACATAGTGTTATGCCCAGGGGAGGCATGCAGACCAGAAGACTCCATCTCTTGGCAGGCCCATACATGGGCATGTTCTGGAATGCTATCCACCCCGCCGGTGGGCAAGAGGGTTGTCTCGGGCTGCCGATAGCTCTCTCAACAAAGAAGCCCCGAGCCACCTCTGGAGACAGAGAAAAGTAGGCTGGAAAATTAAGGCTTTGGGCTCCTTGAATATGAAGAAGAGCATCCAGGTGAGAAGCAAGGTCTGTGGAATAAAGGCCAGTGTTTCTCCATCATTCGTGTTAGTCAGCAGGTGCTTCACTGTATGATGCGCCTCAGAAGTCCTTGCAGTTCTATAGAGACTGCTGGGATTTGTCTTGCTGGGATTCCCTGCTATACATTCAAGGCCTTGGAGGTCCTGTCCATCAGTGCCCCAAATCCCCATCTGCCAAGCAACATATGTTTGCGACCCTTCACCATAGGCCCCAGCCACACTCTTCACCTCACTGCCCTACACTCCTGAGCCCTCTCAGTAGGGAGGATGTTTGATGGAGGGAGGGAAGGATCCTGCCCACTTTCTCTCTTGATTTTTGCTGTCTCACCTGTCAGGCCTGTCTACCCATCCTTTTCCATGACCACCATCAATGCCATGAACCTCACCCAGTGGCCCTAACGGCCTCACATCTCTTTCCCCTCCAGCATTCTCAGCGCCAGGCTCCTCCTCCTCTGCCAACCGGTTTGTCGGCATCGGACCCCGGGACGGCAACTTTCTAAACATCCCCCAGCAATCTCAGGTAGGGGGACCAGCTTCACAGAGGATGTTATATGTGGCAGTAGCCCAAATGTAGCTTGCATTTTGTGGGGTGGGTGGGTGGTTGGGTATGGTACTGCAGGGGGAATGGATGGGAAGAGGTCCAGATCCAAACACTCACATGTTTCCTGATACTCTTCAGCCCTGACCTGAATTGCATTCAGCAGCAAAGACCTCCATATAGAATTGGAAAAAGAACACATGGGAATGAGATGCAGATGAGATGTGGGTCTGCCCAAGTTTTGTTTATCTGTTGGTAACAGGAGCTTAGTAATTTAAATGAAAATTGAAACTGAATATCAGGATTCCAGATTTTTTTTTCCACTGGGTGTGCCATCAAACCATCAAGCCCCTTTGGGATATCAGAGGCATCCTTATCCAATCCCATTCTGAAACCTAAATGGCCTTGGTATGTAGACAGGAAACTAAGGATCAGCAAGAATGTGTTTGGGGCATTCAGACTGTGGCCAAGTATTTCAAAACCAGATTCTCAATTGTGAAGTGCAGTGTCAAGGAGTTAGATTTGGATGGGGAAGACTGCTTAACTATGGAATTGGGTTGTTGTAGGTTTTTCCGGGCTGTATGGCCATGTTCCGGAGGCATTTTCTCCTGACATTTCGCCTGCATCTATGGCAAGCATCTTCAGAGGTAGTGACCTCATTACCTCTGAGGATGCTTGCCATAGATGCAGGCGAAACATCAGGAGAAAATGCCTCCAGAACATGGCCATACAGCCCGGAAAAACCTACAACAACCCAGTGATTCCAGCCATGAAAGCCTTCGACAATACACCTATGGAATTGACTAGGTACCTTTTGGCTAGTTAACATTTCTCTTAAAGCTATTCACACAGCGCCTTATACACATTAATTCACAAAAACAGTGAGATAAGGCTAGGCTCAACACCATTTCACATGTTGTATTTCCATGTGGAAAACGCTTCCATGTTGGGAGAAAGATGAAATCCAGAGGTAGACTGTTGCAAAGCTACTGACTGTAGAAAATATGTTTTCCAGAATGTTCAAACAGTGTATACACTCAGTGAAAAATACATATATACCCTCCGCTAAGACTTCCTACACTTTTTCCTACATGAGGTTATTTGAGGAAAACTATAAGCCACCACTTGTGGTGGCTATACCCATGTTAGATCCATACGTCATGCTAAGTTATAGTTAAGTAAATCAAGACAAGTTGCCATAAACTGGTCTTACATGTTACCCGTGTGCCATTCCCCTCCTCTGATGCAGCCATCAGGAGCTGAGAAACATTTACTTCTGATTTCAGTTAACCACAGTTTAGTATGTCCAAACCTTGTGTGCTGATTAATGCCAACGTTTTTAAAAGCCATATTTGAAGTTGGCTTGTTTTAAATAATCTATAATTAAGATTAAATACAATTTATCACACATAAGACAGCACAACAAACTGCTGTTCACCTAAACTGGAAATAAAATATTCCAAACTCTCCCTTGCAACCAAACCAGAATGGGGGAGAAAAGTGAGCAAGCCCAATGTTTGCTACATATTGTTCTCATGATGATAAGCCATGGGTTAGTATGATGCCCCAAAGTATTCTTAGGGTGTATGCAGTTTGTACATGCAAGCAAGGCCCCATTTCCCAAGATGGTGAAACAAATGTGACAATCTACATGTAGCAGGCATGTAGCGGGGGGGCTCTGGGGGCTTCAGCCCCCCCCCGAAATTCTCATGGTGGTTCACGAAAAGGCCTTACTGGTGCATTATTTAAACTGTTATGTTTATTCATATCATGATTTGATCACCATTCTCAATATATCCCATATGTATGGGGGTATTGGGGTAATGATACAAAAGGTTTGCTAGGCTAGACCCTCTTTCACTCAGACTCGCCCCCCCCCCGAAACTCAGCCCCCCCCGAAACCCCCCCTGAAAATTTTTTAGCCCTCCCCGAAACGAAATCCTGGCTACGGGCCTGACATGTAGGTTTCATGTTTTGTTTCGTGTGAAGAAAAACCTTGCATATAGCACTATCAGAGGCAGAATAGCCCAAAGCCTTACCCTATGTCATTAAACACATTTTTAAAAAGGAATTGTTTAGTAGAAAAGATAAAGAGAAAAATTATGAAGAAATCGGAAAAGCATTTGTGTAAGATTGCAGCATTAAGAGTGGGGCACAAAGGAGCCCCCTTTGTGTGGTTATCACTTCCATGGAACATAAATGCATCCCTCTCTCTGTCACCTTCGTCATTTGATGATCCTTTCCGGTTACTTCTGTGCTATCATTTAATGTCCCAAAACAAAGAGGTCACAAACTACCAAGGAAAGTAGTGTAAGGGGATGGAGTCAGTTCTTTGGTACCTTCATAAGAGTTATAAAGCCACAGGAAAATAAGCTTGAGGCAGTTGAGTGTTATGTGCAAACAATTTGTGTGTGGAGGAGTAAACACCTCTGTAGGTGAAACAACAATACTAGCATAACAGACTACACCCAACATTCCTAGAAAAACAATGGCATCACTGAAAAGAAAACTAAGGAGAAGTTGGCTTAAACAGGTTCATACATTGGTCCATGTCCATCCATGATGCCAGCAGCCAAGGGATGGGTCCAGTGCTGACACCTCCATGTTGTTTAGAATCAGAGCTGAAGTGAGTTTCCATACTCGCTCTAGAGCAGTGGTTCTCAACCTGTGGGTCCCCAGATGTTTTGGCCTTCAACTCTCAGAAATCCTAACAGCTGGTAAACTAGCTGGGATTTTTGGGAGCTGTAGGCTAAAACACCTGGGGACCCACAGGTTGAGAACCACTACTCTAGAGGTATGTGCAGACATGAATTTAGGCAGTGTGGTGAGTCAGAATGAGGATGAAATAGTAAATAAGTCCAGCTCTGGAGCACTTATGAGACATGCAAGTGTATGCTTCTCTGGTGTTCAGTACACCACTGTGTATTGTGTTTACACTAAATTTTAGGGCCTTTCTTGCCTGTGGTTATTCAGAAAATATTGACTGAGCCCGTGGTCTTCTCTCTGAAGCATCTGAGAACACGGAAGCCGCTATTTCACATGTACCTTTTAGGTGCATCTTTCAGCCTGTTTTGCACTGTTTGTGTTATATGTGAGTGCTGCTATGGAAGCAAAACAGAGCAGACAGACAAATGTGTACACATGTTTGGTAATATCGGCTGTACATTGACAGTATAGAATCATTTAAGACAAGCCAACAAAGGTTCATATTTGAAAATATGCTTCAGACAACACAGACCTTTAATATTAATATTAAGATAACTCTCACCTGGTTACTGCAGTAGTGATACAATACAATTTTTGGACAGAATGGTACAAGCAGGAAATCTACAGCACAGAAGTAAATATATATCATTATATATATATTGCTGGCACAGGTGTAGAGAAACCTTGCCACTTTCCCCCAAAAATATTTTCAGTTGCTGCAGAAACACTCTGGCAATATTGAAATGTTCACACAATACTGCAGATAAGGAAAAAAATGTAACTCATTTTGAAAGAGTATTGTTGAAGGGTTTCATGGCCGGAATCACTGGGTTGTCATAAGTTTTTCGGGCTGTATGGCTAGGTTCTAGAAGCATTCTCTCCTTACGTTTCACCCACATCTATGGCAGGCATCCCCAGAAGTTGAGAGGTCTGTTGGAAACTAGGCAAGTGGGGTTTATACGAGGGGTATTTTTAAAGTAAGGTCCGTTTGAACATAAGTATACAACGAAAGTTTATTTCAAAAAAGTAAATTTATTTTCAGAAAGTACATACTTCACTCTATTTTTCGACATAGTTGGCAAGTTTGTTCAAACACTTATCATACCTCTGAACCAATTTTAAAATACCCTCTTCAGAAAAACTTGCCGCCTGCTCCGATAACCAAATTGTCTGTAATCAAAGAAGAGCGACCGGAGCAGTCCTCATCATGGACGTTGTCACGGCCATCTTTGAATTGTCGTACCCACTTGCGCACTTTGCTTTCACTCATAACAGTATCACCGTACACTTCACAAATCTGTCGATGAATTTCTGCAGCAGGCAGGTTCCTTGCTGACAAAAACCGTATCACTGAGCGAACCTCACATGCGGAGGGTGAGTTGATAGTCTTAAACATTTTTAAAGCACAGAACAGAACCGTACAGGTTAGCTACAGAACGGAAACTGAGCACAGTTGTTCACGACGCACGCACTCGTTGCGGTATGCGCACGAACTACTAATGTCTACAACAAAACGGACCTTACTTAAAAAAATACCCCTCGTATATCTGTGGAATGTCCAGGGTGGGAGAAAGAACTCTTGTCTGTTGGAGGCAGGCGTGAATGTTTCAATTGGCCACCTTGAATACTATTTAAAAGCCTAGCAGTTTTCAAGGTGTGGCTTCTTACTGCCTGGGGAAATCCTTTGTTGAGAGGTGATTAGCTGTCCCTGATTGTTTCTTGTCTGAAGTTCCCCTGTTTTTTATTTTTTTAAAAAACATACAAAATTGTAAAACTCAACACTGAGCAAAATTAACAATAATCCCATCCTCTGCTCCAAGCAGTCGATTCTATAACAAACTAAAAGTGGAAGAAATGGTAAAAGTGTTCTTATAGGAGGCGAAGAGTTACGGAGAGGTATTTTGGTGGACACAAAGAGCATGATGTCCATGACCCAGGAAGTTGGACTGGTGGGAAAAAAGGAGGGCCTTGTCTTTTCTCTGGCTAGAAAACAGAGGCCTTTATTGCTGGAAAGGTGTAACTGCCCTGCAATGGAGGTTCTAGGACTTGAATCACCTAGGCTAGCATGTTGTGTTATTTAAGTCTGTTTTAATTCTTTCACTACTGTGTCCTGAATGGGAAGGTGGAGGATGTGAAGGATAAGACTGACAGAGAAAAGTTGGGTAAAGTGGAGAGGGAATGAGCCCTGCCTCTCTTTCCCCACCCCGTGTGCCATTCCTGTTCTCTCCCCTGCTCCTCTTGTCCCGCAAAAATCCTACTCTCAGCTTGATCTGCCG